GCTGCCCTGCAGGATGAGGAACACGCGGAACATGGGGAGGACGAGGGATGAGCTGGATGAGGAGCAGGAGGAGAGAGTGGGGGTAAGCATGGGAGGATGGGAGGAGGTGGCAAGGAGGAAAAGGGGGCGAGGTACCCTGCAAGCCCGTTTTCTCGAATTAGGAAAGGGAGGAGCAGGAGGACGAGGATGAACAGGAACAGGAGAGGGAGGACGGGGAGAAGGGGCAGGAGCATGCAGCTGCTGCTAACGTGCGGTACGCACGGGCTGTTGCCGACGGTCACCATACACGAGATCATGCGCCATGTACATGCGAAATATACATATGCTTTTACAGTGCGCCAATGCACACACCACACACACACACACTTGCACCACGTCCAGGCGCATGCGGTTAGCATGGAGGTGCGCATTCCAATCTGGAGGAGCTGTTTCACTGTCGGTGACTTGGGGTGCCTTGCCGTGAGCGGCGGTCCATCGGCGAGCGTGGGCCGACGTGTTGCAGCGCCGCGCAGGACGTCGGCGGCGCGCCCAGGGGAGAAGGCAGAGGGGGCGGGCGGGCCTTCTCACAAGGCTCAGAAGGCCTCCGGCCGCCTGAAAAGCTTTCCAAACCTCTCCAGCCTCCTGAGAAGCTTTTCAAACTTCTCCGAAGCGACAGGAGAGCTCCTCAGAAGGCCAGAGGGCTTTTGAGAAGCACCGCAACTTCCGAGAAGGCTTGCTTCCTCTCACTTCCCCCCTCGGCGCGACGCCAAGTACCCGAGGCGGGATCTTCTACATAGCACCGCCTGGGTGACCTATCTTTCTGGACCTCGGCAGGCGGTGGATATGATAGATTCGGCCCCCTTGAGCCAACATGTATCAACATCCGCCAACCGCTGGGTTTACAGGACGTCGGTTCCCCAGGCCGTGGATATAGATGAATGATCCCGTGTCGAGGAACGACGACGACGACGACCTGGGGGGGTACCCGTCGCGCGGGGGGGGGGGGGCAGAAGGCATCAGCATGAGGGGGGGTGGGACCCAGAGCCTTGGATCATACATCCCGCCGTGCAGAGCATGGGCTTCGGGTTCGTCGCAGCCCCCCCCCCGCGATTCGTGTCGACGTGGGACTTATGGCGCTCTCTCTGCGAGGCTAAGCCCCAGGTAGAGGAGTCCAGGGGAGACCAAACTCAGCACTGTTGAAGACATCTGGGCGTTCTCTCTTCGGCAGCGGGCGAGGGGGGGAAGTGAGAAGGGGAAGGCCCTCTCAGAAGGCGGCGGGGCTTCTCAGAAGCCCTCCAGCCTTCTGAGAAGTCTTCTGTGTCTTCGGGGACGGTTTAGAACACTTCTCAGAAGGCTTGGGGGACTTCCGAGCCGTCTGAGAAGTCCTGCTCCTTCGCACTTCCCCCCCAGGGCGCGCCGCCGATCTCTGTCCTCGCCGGACCTGACGCGGGCCAGCCTGAGCAGCGGCAGTGCGAGCGGTCGCGGCACGGCGTCGAGGTCGGCGTGCCCGCGGGCGCACGCCCGGCGCGCGGCAGGAGGCGGCATTCGCGACCTCGCACCCAGTGCGTTGCGCAGCCGTGCGTCAGAGAAGCAAGAGGCCATGATCATGGCACGCTACAGGATTTCGAAGATTTCTTGAGGTTCCACAAGGGTTGCAGAAACGAGGGCCGCTGGATACTCTGTAAATCCTGCAACGTATCCGTTGCCAATCTCATCGAAGGCGCCTACGGCGAATCACCGCCGCCCGCTGCCCGTCTGGAAGCGCCTGTGTGGCCGAAAATTGGGCTAGAGCTTGGCAAAGCTATTGGAGCACGTGTTCCTTCAGCCGTCGTTGAAACCCTTCGGGGAACACGTGAGGAAGAGGATAATGAGGAGAAGGAGGACAAGGGAGGAGGAGGAGGAGGAGGAGGAGGAGGAGGAGGAGGAGGAGGAGGAGAGGAGGAGGAGAAGGAGGATGAGGAGGAGGAGGAGGAAAAGAAGGATAATGATGAAGAGGAGGAGCAGGAGCAGGAGGAGGAGCAGGAGAGGAGGAGGAGGAGGAGGAGGAGGAGGAGGAGGAGGAGGAGGAGGAGGAGGAGGAGGAGGAGGAGGAGGAGGAGGAGGAGGAGGAGGAGGAGTATACCTCTTGGGAGCCTCTTGGGGCACTCTTGGGGTCTCCTGGAAGCTTCCTGGGGCCTCTTGGGGGTCTCCATCGGCCTCTTGGGGCCGTTGGGGGTTTGTTCGGGGCCTCTTTAGCCGTCTTAGGGCGTTCCTGGGCCGTCTGACGCCGTCGGGAGCCGTCTTGGGGGCCTCTCTGGACCGTCTTTGGGCCCTCTTGGGGTGCTTCAGGGACGTCTTGGAGGTCATCTTGGCCGTCATGGAGGCCTCTTTGGCCTTCTTGGGTCCACCTCGGGGCCGTTTTGGGGGCTTCTCGGGCCGTCCTGCGGTCATCTTGGGGGCCTCTTGGGCGCTCTGGGGACGATCTTGGGGGCCTTTTGGCCTTCTTGGGCCGTCGGAAGGCCGAACAAGTGGCAAATACCAAAATTCTTCAGAAACCTAGGGCAAATTATTCAATCGCTTCGCTCATTCCGCCGGCCCAAATTGCATGATCGCTACTGCTTCGCCGTGGGCTCGGGGCCATTGTGGCGCCGCCGAGGAGGAGGAAGATGAGGATGGGGAAGGGGAGGGGAGGAGGAGGAGAGGATGAGAAGGAGAGGAGGAGGATGAAGATAAGTAGGATGAGGAGGAAGAGGAGGAGGGGGCGGAGAAGGAAGCCTCTCGTTGGCATCTTGTGTTGCTCTTGGGGCCAAACAGGGTCGTCGTCAAGATGCTTCTTTGGAGGCCTCTTGGGGTCGGGGCTGCGGAAGGGGCGGGGCTGCGTCACCTCGGAGGTGCGTTCGACGCGTCGAATCCCCGGGGCCAGCATGTCCTGCGCGTCTGCGCGCGCGCCTCCCTGCTGGTGGAGCGCAGGGCCGGGGCGCGGCACGACGAGGAGATGCTGGGCGATGTGGACATCGAAGCTTCGAGCCACCCGGAGTGGTCCAGCTGGCGTCGCCGGCTGCCTCTGCGGAAGCGTTTCTGCCTTTCCTTGTGGCGGGCGGGGGCCGCTCGCACTCTTACCCGGCGCTGGGCTGGGCAAGGTCGATTGCAGGCGTGCCCCTGGTGCGGGTTCGACCGGGCTTCTGCCCGCCACTTCTGGTCGGGTTGCCCGCGGTTCCTCCCCGCTAGGAGGGCTTTTGAGGAAGGGCCGCTGGCAGTCCCCCAGGGGTGGTGGGGAGCGCAGCCCCGGGTCACGGCCAAGTCCGTTTGGGTCACTCACCAGGCGCACCCCAGCCCGCGACGGCGGGTCCAGTTGCAAATCGCCGCGGCACAGCTGGCTCTCCAGGTCATGGAGGCGCTGCAACGCAGCGGAACGAGGGACCCCGGTGCCCCGCGGCGGTGGCCGGCGGAAGCGTCCGCGTGGGAAGAGGCGGAAATGGGGCCGGCGGGGGACGGCGGGCCCCTTCGGCGGAGGCTGGTGGAAGAGACCGCGGAAGCCGCGCAGGCAGCACCCGGTGGTGACGCGGTTTCTGCGGAAGTGGCGTTTTCTTCCTCCCCCTCCCCTCGTGGCCTCCTGGCCGGCGGGGTGCGGGGTCCTGGGGGCGTCGATTTGGTGTCCCGCCACGACGGTGTCCCGATGGTGTCCTTTGTGCATGGGGGGCCCTGGCCCCCCCACCCAGATAGAGCGTCATTGACTCCCAGGCTGACGGCGCGGTGCCGACGTCCGCGGCCAACGTGGTGGCATCGGCGGATGGTGGCCCCTCCCCTCCCCTGCCCTCCGCTCGGGCGGCGGCGGCGGCAGCCTGGTTGGCGCCCCCTCTTCTTCCGGGGTGGGTGGGAGGTCTTCGGGTTGAGGCTCAGGCATTACCGCGGCGGCCTCTGAGCAGGTTGACCCAGCGCGCCCCGGGCAAAGCCCGGGGAGCATGCGGCAAGGCCAACGGACGCCTACCGCATATGTCATCTTGTCGTAGGCCTCTTGGGGTCTTCTGAGAAGCCGTTCGGGGACGCTTGGGGGGCATTTTTGAAGCCTTCTGGGGCCTCTTGGGGCCTCTTTTGGGCCTCCTGGGGGCCTCCTGGGGCCTCTTGGGGTCTTCCTGGCGGCATCTTGGGGCCTCTCTGGGCCTCCTGGGGCCCTCTTGGGGCGGAAGGCTAGAGTTTTCGGTTCGTGGTCCCCCTCTTGGGCCCTTTTTGGGGCCGTTTTGGAGCTTTCGTGGGTCGTCTTGAGCGCCTCTTGGGTCGTCTCGGGGCCCTCTTGGGCCCTCTTGGGGCCTTTTTGGAAGCCTCTTGGCCCGTCTTGGGGCGCTCTTGGGGGGCCTCTTGGGCCGTCTTGGAGCATCGGAAAGCCGAAAAGGCGACTAGGCCAAAATTCGTCCAAAATCGTTGTAAAATTTATGATTTTGGCCTCTCGGGGCCCTCTGTGAGGCTTCTGGGAGGCCAGTTGGAGGTCTCTTGGGCCGTCTTGGGTCATCTTCGGCGTCTTGGAAGGCTCTTTGGGCGTCTCTGGGGCCTCTTGGGCAGTCTTGGGGGCTCTGGGGCCCTCTTGGCGCGTTCTGGGCGGCCGCAGAGACCCCACCCAGGAGGAAAACCATGTCTGACAAAGATTGGCCGGGCGGCGGGCGGGGTACTTTTGGCCGGGGCACCCCCAGGGGCCGCCCCGCGCGCGCGAGCTAGAATATTGTTAACCAGTGTCTTGTGATCTTAGCACGCCTCTGGCCCGTTGGGCTGGCGAATTCTATTTTTTGGCCTCTTCGGGCCCTTCTGGAGGACTCTTTGAGGCCTCTTGGGCCGTATTGTAGGCCTCTTGGGGGCCTCCTGGGCTGTCTTGGGCCGTCCTGGAGGCTTCTTGGGCAGACTTGCATCTTGAACCCTCTCGGGCCGTCTTGGAGGCCATCTTGGACCATCTTGGGCGAACTTGGAGGCCATCTTGGCCTCGTGGAGGCCATCTAGAGCCGTTTTGGTGGATTTTTTTTGGACGTTGAGGTGGTTTCTGAGTGGCCCGCGGC